CCAGGGTTACCTCTGTACCAGTATAGTATAGAGATATTTGCAACAAGTATGTCAAGTATTTGCTCAGCCGATAACCCTAACCCTAACTGAAAAAGAAACAAATCTTAGTATTCGACATGAGTAATGAGTGCAAGTTGGCTCTATCACCAACCTCCTTGGCTGATACTGGCTTATTTAAAGATTGCAGGGTTGGACGTCTGGAACAACGATATGGGTAAGACAGTACTCAAGTGTTCGAATGTCAGGGGGAGGAATCTCAGCTATTTGAGAATTCAGGGGTGAGCGCTCACATGTCTGAAATTCATCCACACTAATAGCTGGGCAGATGTTGATGTTGGTAAATGGAAGTGTTGTTTTAAAAATGGCCTGTCTTCCTCCCTCATCCCTCTTAGCCTCCTCTCTCATCCCTGTGCTGTGTCCCAGGGCGTTCTCCCTCTGCTGTTTCTCCCTCTATCACTCACCCACTGCTCTCTCTGGCCATTTGTCACATGGACTCGAGTTACAAAGCGTATGGGAACAGTGGATGCTGAGCGGTGGGCGAGGGGGCAATAGATTCTCCTCCCCTCCATGTATGTTTCATCCATCAACCCACCTGACCATTCGTCGACCCCCCCGACACTCCCATTTAAACACACATACGCACATTTATCTTCCTTTGCTCCCTCTCTCATATTCATCCATCTATGCATCCCTCCTGTCATCATCCATCCCTATGTCACCCACTCCACACTCTCTCCTTCCTCCATCTCTCTGCATCATGAGGCGGCTGAACCATCCATTCATCCACACAACCACCACCCCCCTCCCTCCCTCCACACTCCTCTGTCAGAGAGTCCTTCTGTACTCCTCCCTGATTGCTCTGATCTCTCTGGAGACCAGCTCAGCATTACCGCTTCCAAGACCATAAAGAGGGGCTGGCCGGCGTGCTGCTGCACACACTCAGCAAAACACCAGCATCCACGCATGCGCCTACACACGAGTCTGAAAATAGGTGCAAATGGGTGTATGGAGATTTAAATCGCTGGATGCATTTACTTTAGCAGAGAGGCAACAGGTCATGTCCCATAAAAGCAACCGCGTCTTAACACAAGGTGTGACTTAAAGAGCAGATGTTGACGTCTGGAGCAAAGAAGCTAAAGTTAATGGTAGTGGGAAATGAAAATGGGGTGTGCACTTCGCAAGACCAAGCTACTGTTTGTATGAAGACACAGGGGATCATGACACTTGTTGACACTTAGTATTAATCTAATTATTCTTGTACTACAAACACAAAGATAAGAAGTTCAAGCAACAGTTCGCCTATTTTGCCTACACTGCTCTACCATACGGTGGCTCAACTCCAACCTGGTGGCATTAAAGCAACCTGCTGCCGTGGAAAGTGTGTGAATGTCACTTACCTTTGGAAGCGGTTTATGAGTCTGTCTCCTCCGTCCTTCCCGCGGTCCTCCACCTCCACCAGAAAGCCGATGGGTGTGCGCTGCTGTGGGGCGCTCCTCTTCAAGGCGCTCCGCTCCCGGATCTCCACCAGACTGTGCATGTGCCGGTCACCGGGACACCCACCAACCACAGTCAAGTCAGCCAGAATATATACACGGCACTTCCTGTGAGGGCTTTCAGAATAAAACTACTAGTTTGCGTTCAAAAGTGTGTGAACTTAAAACCATGTTTAACACGCCTGTAAGTGCAAATATGTGGGCTTGTTTGTCTCTGTTTAAGCAACTTTGGAGCAAAGTTAAGTTGTCTTTGTTTTTACCTGTATTATGCATGATTATTGCAAGGTTCGGTGCAATATTTACATACATATGTTTATACAGTATGTAGGAGCTGCTGCTTTTCATATGTGATTCTGTGAAGTGTAGTGCAGTATATTAGCATCTATAATCATTCATGTTAACATGTGAGCTGTAACTAATAATTGTTTTCATTATCCATTAATCTTGTGATTATGATAGGTAGTTGAGACCACAATAGTCAGAAAATAGTGACAAATGTCTATTACACCTTGTCAGAAGACATCTTAAAGTAGCTTGTTTTGACCAACCAATTGTTCAAAGACTAATGCTATATTCAATTTAGAATTAGTCTACATAAAACAGAGACAAACAGCAATGTTTTGCATTTAAGTATCAGGAGCCAGCAAATGTTTGCCATTTTTGATTGTTTAATTACTTATACTTACTTACCACAGTTCATCAATAATCAAACTTATTGTCCCCACCGTCCCAAAAACATAGGTAAATACATCAATCGATTAATCATCTTATTGTTTCTGCAAAAGTAAAATGGTACATTGACGAATTTTGCTCATCTATTGTAATGCCAAACCTTTAATTTGAAGGTAACTCCATTTATTTCCGGTGTTATTCTCTCCTTCACTGGCTAATTGACGCAGTTTCAATAGTAAACTTCAGGCTGTAGTGTGTGTGTGTGTGTTGAATGGCGCAGGCGTTACGCAAAACGCATCAAAACTCATGACCTCTCAGTTAAATTGCTCACTAATATACCGTGGATAAAATACAGCAGATGATTCGTAAAGTCTAACATTGCCATTAAGTACGCTGAACTTCAAGATGTAAACTGCTGAAATATTACAAGTCTTCAGTCAGACAAACCAGTTTGGGCCTTTATCAACAAGCATCAGCCTGACTGTTGAGCAATGCAGGGGAGTCATGCACCCAGGCACATTTAATCATGTCCAAACCAGATCAACTCCACTTGTGTCTGCAAACCTAAAAGGGTGTTATTGTTAAGCATTGAGAATACCAGTGTGTATTTGTGCTGTAAGGCCTTTTTTGTGAGTTTGAGACGGAGTAAATCATGTTGGAGCAAGAGAAAAACTACAGCTGCGAGGCAATGATGCAACAGACCTGCCAAAACTGCAGTGTGAAAGAGGGTTTTTATTGGTGCTTGGCAAAACATAGTCCCTGAGACCGCAGAAGCACGCCCTAAACAATACACTGGGTTTTTACATTTAGTTTCATCTAGAATTAAACACATGGTGAACTGTGGATTGTTATTTAAATAAAGACATTAAACTAAAATTCTGGACTAGCCTAGCCATCAGCCTTTAGTAATGAGGGGGGAAATGTATCATGTAAGAGATTATTGATTACATAATGACCATTAAGAAAGACACCTCAATGGAGATATTTCAAAAAGCAAATGAAGTGTAGCATACAAAATATTAAAAATGTAGAAGATTAGGCCATTGTTTTTGTAAAATATAACAAAACCTAAATCAAACAGGAACTCAGGAACTGCAGCCTGTTGAATCAAATGACACACAGTTATCTGTTACATATTTAAAATAAATATTCAAAATAAACTGCCATGAAACGTCCATTATCTTAAACGGTAACACTGTCACTTAAACATAAACAAGTCTTCCAAAAACTAGAAGTAACAGAGCAAAACAGGAAAAGATCAAATTCTGTAGAAATTTGTGGCCAAGCTGATTTTAGCACACATACCACCTACCTCAAAGGTTCCTGAGCTCAGACTCAATATTTATCATGGCTATTGATGGTTCTAGTGGTAACCTGGGTACTTTAGCGGTGGCGTTGGGCCGGATCATTGCGTGCCCACAACCTGTGGAACTCTTTAACGAAGGGCTGCACCAGTTTTGGCTCCTCAGTGACGAGGATGTTCTCCATGTTGCCCTGCACTGCTTGCAGCGTCCAGTTGAGGGAGCCCGTGATGAGAAGCCGGCTGTCCACCACTGCAAACTTGTGATGCATATACACAGAGCCCACGTCGCACCGCACACAGATCCCTGCGGAGGAGACGGTAGAAAGGAAGGAGGGAAGAGATTATTCTTCAATGCCTCAGAGATGTGTGGATCTTCTCTAGTATTCTTCCCACCAATTCTGGTTTGTGCACAAAGAATATCAATGGGATGGGATTGTGGACTAAATACTACAAAAGGTGCTTTGTGTGAATGTAACTGTTGAAAAGTATGTAAGGATCATGAATGAATATTCCCGCACTTTAGTCCTAGGAGCTCCTCTAACAAAGAAAAATGTCTTAATGGACCGACCTAACCTGAGTTGTAACATAGAAGGGTAAACAAACTAAATGCATTAAAACTATTCAACCCCACTTTAACACCGTCATCAAAAGCTTTCAACACTCAGCACTTAACGTTTAAGGTCACATAAATGTTTTTATCCTGATCATAAGACACTTATTTATTTTTCTTATCTAGTGTGAGCAGAAAGATTGCGTTGCACAATAAATCTGACAGTTGTGAAACACAAAACCTGACAAATAATTTGAAACCTTGGCCTCTATATTTATTTCACCTGTCTGATTTAGTACAAATGTATATTTATTAGGATCTAGGGATTTTGTTATGCAACAAAATAATAATAATGCCAAGCTATAAATAACATACATTTTTACTAAAACTGCTATCAGATGTGAATGTACTCTTATTGATGGCAACTGGTGAAACAAAAAAAATCTAGTTCACTAAATAACTGCAGCAACTATTTTACATAAACCAAATATAAACATATTTAATATGATTTATTCTAATACAGTATATGGCACGAATACATTTATCTTCTTATTATCATTTTTTTTAAATTATCCTTTTACAGATCCTCTTCTGTTGTATGGAATGGGAAGCAGCTTAGACAGAATTATTACTTTGGTAAGGTTAAGTGCATGCCCTTTGTTTTTTTTTTTAATAGATTGAAAAACAATTACCAGAAATGTGTTTTTAGACAATTTATTTGAGCATTTTTCTTCCAAGGACAGGGTGAACATGTCCCCTTCTTGACCCCCCTAATTGCTCTGTGTAAAAACTTTTTTGGCTTTTTAAAATATACTCAACGTGAAGATGACCAGAAATGACAGGAAAGAGTAAATGCAACTGGCAATTAAAGGTCGATGTGTTTCCACTTTTGACCGTGACCAGTTTTGACAGTCCAGAGCATGTCCCTTTAAGATAATTTCCTCTGCCCTTTCCGAGCCAGTGTGCATCAGTGAATATCTTCCTTATGAGGGAAACATAAGGGAGAAGGGAGGGAAGCAAACTCTGGACTATCACAACCAGTGACGGTGAAACAATGTGCTTACGTGTGACTCACATTCAGCTATTTGAGAATAAACAGTGTCTGCAGGATGCAGTATGAAAACCGGAGTAGATTGTCCCTTGTGCCAAAGTCGTTCTATTGAGGTTTGCAGTCCATACGCTTGACAAACACTTTGCCTAATGAAATTTGCTGCCAGGTTGCCAATTTCTTACTTACTTAATTCTTACTTAACCATATGCAGTGGCAGTAATTTATTAAATGCAGAGGGCTGAGAGGGACTGAGACAGTGTGAGTGTGACACGTGACACAAAATCTTTCAGAGCTTTGAGAGCATGATTACTCTGACTCATAGGAGGGCTTGTAGTGGCAACCTCCACTAACCCAGACAGCTCCTATCATCTCTCTATTCACCACTAAGGAACCCAGTGGGACTTACCGACAATGACTCTGGTAGTCCGAGAACACATAATGAGCACCTTTTGTTGAGTAAGACCAGAGTCATCCTTCCCGTATTTCAAGTGAAATTTGTCGATGATAATGTTCCTGTAGAGGCTGGGGTGACTTTTTTTTAACAAACTATATCTCTATAAGGACTAAATACGTCCCCCTGGGCCTGTATTTGTGTTTTGTTTTGGCATAAACATGCTTCATCACACTGACTGTTATATTCACACAGCATGAAGACACAAATGGATCCGTTTCCCTTACCGGCCTTGCGGAGGATCCCTATCTGGGAGCCGGTAATGGCCACATAGTCCTTGTCAGAGAGGACTCGGATGGTGACGCCCCTGCCATACAGTGCTAGTACAGCCCTGCTCAGGTCCATGTTGGAGAAGGCAAAGACACACAAGTCCAGAGAGGAGGAAGCAGACAGGATGTGTCGGAGAAGAAGGGAGAAAGAAGTTTCTACGCCATGAGGCAATGGGCAGAGACACGAACTGGAAGAGCAGAAAACAAAAGAAAATTCCTACTTATTGTATCATTTATTGGTCTTCCATGGGGTATACTAATAAATGTGTTTTCAGTTTATATATTTCACCTCTAGTCTAGGTTGCCCACAAAGTGAGGAAACCAACTGTCAGGTTACAAGAGCTCTATTTAGCAACACATGCTGTGGACGGTTTTTAAGCTACAAAAATACATAATAATATATAATAACCCCAGTAGTCTTGTTCGTACTTACTTTAAATTTGGTTTTCTAGGTGTAATTTTATGTGAAAAATGTATTCAGCGGATAAAAGAATAGTCCTGTCAAGTGAAAAACAATTGGGATGAAGAATGGTAAATGCACTGCCTAAATCCACTTACTGAAAGCATTTACAGTAGGGGCTTTGAATATTTGCATTAGTGGCCATTATCACAACACACTTGACAGTGATACAGAGAAAATCATATATAGCTTCCTTTTATTCAATAAAGCGATTACGTTTCACTTACTGAGGTAAAGAGGGAGTGAAGATGTGCTCCACGCAGGCCATCTCCGAGGGAAAGAAGAGGACCTCATTGAGGATTCTTCCAGGCCTGAGGCGGCGAAGGAGCCAGCCAAGCAGCTCCACACTGATAGAGAGGGCCACCACACCCAGGCCGACCACCTTCACCGTCCACATCACTGACTTTCACTACTGAACAAAACAATGTTAAAGAAAATGTAGTGTAATGCAAACTTTGTAATGTTCATACAAGATCATGAAATGTTTTTGGGAGTTTTTTCTCACATGATTATGGACATTTTCATACAAGACTCATAAATTATGATTATCTGTTTTGCATGTGTGTTTTGTGGCATTTAAGCAACTAATGTTCTCAATATTGAGGATTTTTTTTCTCTATAGGCGAAAAACATAATTTAGATCCCTCATGTCCTAAAATACAGAATAATCTGTTACTGCATAAAACCTCTATAAATGTTGTTATAATCCCGTCCCACAAGTACGCATTATATATTTTCTGTTATTATATGAGGCTTATTAATTGCGTACTTAATCACTTATGATTTTATTTATTATATATTATATTTAATTTATTTTCAGTGCTGGACTGTAACTAAGAAGTTAACTACAATTTTAAGGTACTTGTCCCTTGTGTGTGTTTTTTTTAATTGATGCTACTTTATACTTATAATCCATTAGCTATATTTTGGAGGCAAATATTGTCATTCTATAAGTATTTATTTTAACAACTTTAGCTACCATCTGCTTCAGAGTCAGATTGTTAATACTAAATATAATCAACCAATGACTTATAGTATGTACATTAAAGTAGTTTAAATTAGCTCTACCTGACAAAAACTACTACATTCAGCTAAGCTAACCCTGTTGACGCGGTGTGTTCTTCATCGTCACTGGCAACAAGGTGATTTGTAACGTCATCGGACCATATCAACACTAAACGCTGAGTAAAGAAGACGACAGACGCCATTTGAACCAAGCTAACTGCGTAAGATGTGTAAAGAGTTAACAACTTAACATTTCCAGCCTGTTGGACATCCTGTCAAAACATAAAACATAAGACAGATTATTTAGAGGCAACACACCTTAGCTTCTGTCGCCACCACGCGGGAATATTACCAATGGTCGTCGGACGCTGTTTCGTCACTGCCAATCAGCGTGACTGACAGGTCAGTGAGCCAATGGCTGGCCGAGAAGCTCCGACGCTCTCCTCCAATCAGATAACACGAACCAGTGCCGGTCGGGTCTTCTTGTGAAAGCCTTTTCCTCATAACCGCAACGTGTATTTTCTACACACAAAGGTAAACTTTTACCAGTTAACAGTAAACAACCGCGACATGTTTAACATCTACAGCAAGTTGAGGGACAAACAAATGTGTTTTCTTTCTTACCAGAGTCCATTTTAACTCGTCTTTTTTTATCGTGAGGCGATTATGTTGTACTGGAGATCAACAACAAACATGCTAACGTTAGCCTGCTAACTTTGGTTGCCAACCATATGGGGCAACAACTGCTCACTGGAGTTGTTTTTAGTCCGGTGTTCACACATATTTACTCTTTGGTGGTATTCACCCATCGCACACGATCTCCTCTGTTGAATCTGCCTTGTGTTTGTCTCTTTAATCACAGACCTCGTTCAGTTTGTGTACAATGGGACGCCGCAAGTCCAAAAGAAAGCCCCCTCCTAAGAAGAAGATGACGGGAGATCTGGACTCTCAGTTCACCTGTCCCTTCTGCAACCACGAGAAATCATGTGATGTTAAAATGTACGTCAAGTTTCACCAAGTACATATCCTTAGGGGCATCAAGTTGTTTGTGTTGATTTCTGAGGTGAAAGTTGTCAACTTTTGTTGTTTTTTTTTTTCCTATCTGTCAACAGGGAGAGGAGCAGAAATACTGGGATAATATCTTGCACAGTCTGCTTGGAGGAGTTCCAGACCCCCATTACCTGTATCCTTATTCACACATGAATATTATGTTTTCACCACTTCCTCTTTCTCATACAGTAACACAATAATTTAAAAAAGGTCTATATAAATACAGGTCAATGACAACAAGTGTGTAATCGGCCTGTTCTGACACACAACCAGTTGCAACTGGACAGGTTACACACACAGCCAACCCGTCACTCCTCCATTCGGTCTCCTCCTGCTCTCTCCAATCACATGTACTGTGTTTTAATTCAGCTGAATTCACAATTTCATTCATTTACATATCTTTCTGTCTCTTGTCTGACACCTAAACACATAGAGAATAGGGATTTAAATGTAGAAATACTAGCAGTAATTCCCAAGCTGCTGTGCTACGGTCCTGGCAAAATCATAATTTTTATGATCACAGCGTCCTCTTAACGATGATTGGTCGGCCCCCATGAGCCCGAGCAGACACCACCCACGGTGCCGATTCACTAGGGGTGCTCCATTATGCTAACTTATGCTTCCTCCTGTCCTCTCTCCTCCCGTGACCCTGAAATTAGTCCTCCTCCACCATCATGGAGAACCTTCCAATTCCTTAAATGCACTTTGAGGAGAGAGGAGGCCTCTGAAGGACTTTAGAGCAAGGAAACACAGGTGTATCTTATGTGGAAGGAAGTAGCGTATATTTGGCATAATTAACTACTTAATTGACAATATTCAAACAAAATTCAGTCATTCTTTATTCACATTTTATTCTCGCAGCTCTTACTTTGTAAAGTTGTGTTTTTTTATTTTACAATACAACAGACATACACATTTGGTTTGGCTGTGGAAGTTTGTACCAGTCGGTTTGAAAGCTTACTTAGGACTGGCTGCGAACCCAAGGATTTCTCATATGGCAGCTTCAGCTCCTCTGCCCTTTCGTCTCTTCCTTGTATCTCTCTCACACATCTTTGTTGGGAGGAGCTAAGACGCGAAGAAAGGAAGTGAGTAAGGGAAGCGAGGAGACCGGTTAGAATAATGAAAAGCACTCCATGGGCGGGACTGGACTGTCATCTAGCTTATATGTAATGCCTGTTACAATGTGATGTAATATTGTAATGGAAGAAAAGGCTGAATACAGATGAGACGTGTCAGGCAGTGCAGGAGCAGGGTTTTCTATGGGAGACAACAACTCTCTTGTGGTTTAGACTTTAGGCTTTGTCACTTGTCAGACCTTTTTACAGACACAAAAAAAACTATATAACACATTAAAGCAAAGGGAAAACTCACAAAAGCATAATATGGCCTAACATTCAACCACTACATCCCCCATAAGGCTTTGACAGCCCTTCATTGTCTGAAACTCATATTAGTTATTGCTGTTTTATTCCAACAAAGCAATCGTTTGAGTTGATGCAGCGCTCAAAATTGACTAGCTTCAGCATTTTAAGAGAGACACGTGAAAGAAATACATTGGGTCTTGGAGGGTAGTGAAACAGGAACAAGACTGTCTGAAAATAACTGTAATTTCTTGATCTTACTTTAATGAATGATTTATAGATTCAGAATGACATTACTGCTTGAGAATTGCTGCCTGCCCTCAGCATAATAAGCAAACAAGACACTGCTCTGGCAGTCGCATTTTTTTTTCTTCTGTTCTGCAAATGTTTTCCTTAATCCTTTGCTCTTCAGATCTATCAGAGCCAGTTGACGTGTACAGTGATTGGATAGATGCCTGTGAAGCAGCCAATCAGTAGCCCTCATGGAGCTGGATACCCCTCAGGAACGGGATGAAGATGTGGCTGGTGGTCCTGGGCCCACTACAATCAAGCTGGTCAGAGGACATTTATAAGACCTTTTTAATATTCACAGGTTTCCATATGGTCACTTGAGCTTTACGGCTGTGTGAACAGCAGTTTCACTTATGAGGTCTTCAGCACAAAGCGTCTCTGAAGCGTTCCTGTTGTCTTATGATTCTTGTTATTCTGTGTAAGCCACAACTCTGAGATTTATTACGTAATTTGCGATATTCTTCTGCTTTCTGTTTTCAACATTTCTTTTCTTTTTTTATTCTTTTGGATGGTTCTCAAATATCCTTTACATGCGGTGAAGCCTTTAAGTAGTAGTTGTTGTGTTCTGCTTTAACTGCTATCTATTGTTAGCTGTACAAATATACAAGAGGCCTGTAGTGTAAGATAAGGGACTCCAATCTTGGCATTTTTAATGTGAAACAATAGAAAGTAAAATCTTTTTGGTTAGCATAATGAGAAACAGACATGTGAATATATGGATTTTGACAGAAACGGGTTGAAAACAGAGAACAGTGGGTTTTTCTACACACACTTTCTCTACAATACACTTGACACCAGCAGCAGGACCTAAATTTCCAGGTAGGCTGCATTGCCAGACTTTACAGAGAAGGTAGGAGTGAACTTCTTGGTTGAATGTTTCACTAGGATGTTACGGGTTGTGTTCACAGTAATAATATTTACCCACAGCTCTCCTCATTAAGAAAGTTGTGTCACAATGTTAGGTCATTCCACTGGAGAGAGGAATGAAGCTTAGCTGCTACGTTCAAAAGTTTTAAATTTTTCATTTAAGTTTAAAATCATTCTTTTTTTTTTTTTTCCTTCAGTTGATTGTATGTTTTTAGCTTACATGTTCAAGAGATAAAACTTTTACAGTACAAAATCAAAGTACAAATTGTTTGTTATTAAGTGCATATGTACAGAATCTTGTAATCGCTTGTCTGGAAATCAAGCATTGCTATTGGGTGCTGTTTTCCTATGCAACAGCCATCAGTGTTGAATAGTCTAAAACCAAACAGTTTTTTTTTTTAAACATGAATTCGGTAAGTGTGATCTTGGAAATAAAAAAGCAATAAGTGTTGGTTGGTTGTCTTTTTATTATATAATAAAGTAACTGTGCTGTTTTTTAATGTATGAGAGACAAGGTGTATTATTTATTACACAAAGAATTCCAGTTGAATCAGTAAGCACAAGATTTAAAAACTTGACACTATTTTTTTTATTCTTATCTTTTAGTGATCAAGATGATTTTGTTGTCTGATCTTGGTTTGGTTTAGTTGAATGTAATAATTTTATTTTTATTTATTTTTTAATCAGGGAATAGGAAACCAAAGATAGTGGTTAGATCTTACAAGACATAAACATGCTGTGCAGCTGGTGACTAATAGGAGGACAAGCTCAGAATTACAGTTTGAATTTACATGAACTGTCAAAGAAATTAAGATTTAACAAAGAAAATGGTTTTAAAAAAAACATATCCATGAATACTTCTACAGGTGTTGGATAATAAGCTTACATTACTATGCTTTGTGCTGAGTATAATGTATATTTAATAGGAAAAGTTGAATGGGGCAAAAAACAGACTATTTCTTCCAAATTAGAGTTTTTATTTTAGTTTGTACTATTCCTATTTTGATTCATCATTATACACGGGTGTAGTCAGCCATGAAAAACATGCTTTTTGGTTGAAAGAAAACAGTACAATGGGAAGCCCTCAGGTAGTGAATGAATGGAGAACCAGCAAAAACACATTGCAATAATTACAGCACTTAAACTCAAAGGTGTCAAAGACATTGGCAGTGCCAGTTTCAAAGTAAAATGTCTCTGTGAACAGCTTCTGATCTACTTTCCTGTGGCATCTGTGACCGTGACACATTTTTAGGAGTCCAGTATCCATTCATCCCCACAGAGCACAGGATGTAGCAGATCACAAATGAAAGAAGACACAGTGTAGCGAGGCTATGCACCAGGCAGGGCTGAGTGATAATAGATGAGATGTGGAGTGCCTGCCTGGGCTCTCCACCCAGGAAGAGTGTGTCCGTGCATGCGCGCACTGCACTGTGTATTGTGTTTGATGATGGACCACAGCTGGAGAGGTATTGCCGACGCCTTATGAAACATGCTGGAGGATGATTACAATGGAGAATGATTATCACTTAGTCTCTCATCTGTCTCTGCACGTCCCCTCCCACTCCCTCCCCCTCTCTTCTATTTCTCTCTTCTCTTTCTCCTCTCCCATTCAGCACGCGAGGTCAAGTGTCACTCCGTCTCCGTTGTCAAGGCTGCCAATCACCCACACAGTGAGTGCGAGGCAACTGTTGCCAAGGAAACAGAGCGATTCGGTTGCTAGGCACCTGGAGCTGTGCTCACAATAGTCATTTTGTTGCTTAGAAGCACACACACATGCATTCACAAATACACACAAAACCACAGAAATGGCTTT